TCTGGAAAAAAACATAGGAGCATATCTTTATAAGCTTTGGGTAAGCAAAAATTTCTTGGACAGGACATAAAAGGCACAAACTATTTAAAAAACTGATAAACTGCACATCATAAAAATGAAAATTTCAGCCAGATGTGGTGGCTCACACCAGTAATCTCAGCACTTTGGGGGCCAGAGTGGATGGATTACTTGAGGCCAAGAGTTTGAGACGATCCTGGCCAACAGAGCAAAACCCTGTCTCTACTAAAATTACAAAAATTAGCTGGGTGTGGTGGTGCACACCTGTAACCCCAGCTACTCAGGAGGCTGAGGCATGAGAATCACTAGAATCCAGGAGGCAGAGGTTTCAGTCAGGTGAAGTTGCACCACTGCACTCCAGCCTGGGTGACAGAGCAAGACTCTGTCTCAAAAAAAAAAAAAAAAAAAAAAAAAGGTTCCTCCTCAACAAAAGACAGCATTTTTAAAAATGAGCAGAGAAGTCACAGAATGGGAGAAAATATTCACAGCTCGTGCATCTGACAAAGGACTTGTATTCAGACCACAGCATAAAATAAAAAGTGTTTTTAGGGCAAAAGACTGGGGCACTTCAGAAAGGACGATGTATAAATGGCTGGTAAATACATGAAAAGATACTCTACATCATCTGTCACTGGGAAATGCAAATAAAAACCCCAATGATATACCACTTCACACCCAAATGTTGATACATATGTAGAACAAAGGAAAATTCTCATACAGTGCTGGTCAGGGTATGGCATAACCACAGTGGAAAGTTTCTTAAAAAGTTAAACATGTTATCTTTCCTATGACTCAGAAATTCCACTCTTGGGTAGAATTAAAGAGAAAGGAAAACAAAGAACATGAAAAGCTTGTTAAAAAAAAAAGTTCACAGCAGTCAAACCTCATTGCTTTTGGTTTACTAATATTAGCCAAAAACTAGAAACTACTCAAATGTCTATCACTAGGAAGATAAATTATGGCATATTCATTAAAATTCCATAAAAGGGGAATAAAATGATTCACACGTGTAAATTTAAAACTATGTTAAGTGAAAGAAGTCAGAGACAAAGAGTACATATATAGCATTCCATTTACATATAAAAAATTCAAGAACAAGCAAAACTAATCTATGGAAACAAAAATCAGAAAGTAATTTTGGATGGTGGTGTGGGGGGCAAGGAACTGGCTACAAAGAGGCAGAAGGAAACTTTGGGAATGATGGAAATGTTTTTCATATTTATTGGGGTTATGGTTACGTATGTGTATACATTTTCCAAATGTAAGCTATACATTTCAAATTAGTACATTTTATTGTTTATACTTTTATACTTCACTAAAACTGATTTTAAAAATTTAAATTTAAGGCTGGGCGTGGTGGCTCACGCCTGTAATCCCAGTACTTTGGGAGGCCGAGGTGGGCGGATCACAAGGTCAGGAGATCAAGACCATCCTGGCTAACACGGTGAAACCCTGTCTCTACTAAAAATACAAAAAATTAGCCAGGCGTGGTGGCGGGCGCCTGTCGTACCAGTTACTCAGGAGGCTGAGGCAGGAGAATGGCGTGAACCCAGGAGGCAGAGCTTTCAGTGAGCCGAGATCGCACCGCTGCACTCCAGCCTGGGCAACAGAGTGAGACTCCCTCTCAAAAACAAAAAAAATTTAAATTTAAATTTAAAAAATTGTCATTGTTATTTAAACCCACGTTCCCTTCAGTCTAAAACCATCACCACCATCACAGCAAGGCAGGCTAAGGTGACCTCCTTCAACATGTCAGCCAGGCCACTCACTGAACAGGTCCAGTTTTTCAAACTGTCCCACTAACTTCACAGAAGACTCCATGGGATATTTCAGGCTATCTTTTAAGTTTTTGTTTTGTTTCACTTCACTTATTACTACTTTTTCTTGTTTTGTGAGATGATGTGGACACTTTTTTTCTAAATTCGGTCCCTTTCTTTTCCCCATCACCAAATTACATTTCCATGTTTGTCTCTAAAGAGTGTATACTTATTCCCAAGCATGAGCAACCATTCCAAAAACAAACAAAATATGAAAATGTTAGCAAGTGTGAACAGGAGCCAGATAAAGAGGTGTGAGCTGAAAATGCAGATGCAATTCTTCCACTCTTGACCATTCTAACCCCCAGATCATAGATACTAGTGAGTTTTCAGCCCTAGCCCCAGGATTACTGGCTACAAATAAGTTCATTTCAAAATTTTTATTTCATATATTGTTAAAACTTCACAACTTAGACATATCACTGTAATTTGTTTTCAATATGAAGAGGAGCATGATTCCAAAAAACTTTTTAAAAACCATATGTGGCAAGTTTTTAGGGTTGGCATATCTTGGCTACACTTCTCTTAATAATTAAAGAGCAGGCATCACCACAGCTTTCTAACTCACAGACATCACAAAATAGGGCATATACACAGTATCTAAAAAGCATGCTGTGCATAGCTCAATGTTAATGTCCCTGAAGTACACTTATTAAAAATACAAATGTTCAGGCATTAAGTATTTACAGGTACCAAGACACAAGTTACTTTTTATTTGTTATTTACTTATTTTTTTTGAGACAGCTCTGTCGCCCAGGCTAGAGTGCACTGGGCCAATCTCAGCTCACTGCAACCTCCACCTCCTGGGTTCAAGCGATTCTCCTGTCTCAGCCTCCTGAGTAGCTGGGATCACAGGCATGAGCGACCACCACGCTGGGCTAATTTTTTTGTATGTTTAGTAGAAACAAGGTTTCACCATATTGGCCAGGCTGGTCTCGAACTCCTGACCTCAAGTGATCCACCCACCTGAGCCTCTCAAAGTGCTGGAATTACAGGCATTAGCCACCATGCCCAGCCACAAGTTACTTTTTAATCTGATGGAACAGTGAATAGAAAAACTAACAATTATGCTCCATTTTCAAGGACAATTATAAGACCAACATCAAAGATGCTATCATATATATAATCTCAATAATCACAACATTAATGTGATTCAGTAAAAAATTTCAGTTAAAAAATAAGGGGGGCTGGGCGCAGTGGCTCACACCTGTAATCCCAGCACTTTGAGAAGCTGAGGAAGACAGATCACCTGAGGTTAGGAGTTTGAGACCAGCTTGGCCAACAGAGTGAAATTCCATCTTTACTAAAAATACAAAAATTAGCTGGGCCTGGTGGTGCATGCCTGCAATCCCAGCTACTTGGGAGGCTGAGGCAGGAGAATCACTTGAACCTGGAAGGCGAAGGTTGCAGTGAGCTGAGATCGCGCCACAGCACTCCAGCCTGGGTGGCAGAGTGAGACTCCGTCTCAGAAAACAAAAAAGAAAAAAAGGCGGAGGAGAGGTGGGGAAGAAACATTTATCCAGCAGTTAGACCTGCCAGAAACCCAGTCATGTGACAGTAAAGAGCCTGGAAAAATCAACAAACATCTTTGAGTGGCCAAGGACCACAAAGCCCACACTTAGGATGGGCAGAGCCACGGAATCCCTGATAGCCATTGAAAATGCCCTAGAAAGGCAGATGAAAGAAAATATTTTACTATTAATACACAAGTCTGAAATTAGTAAACAGAGACCCAATCTTAATCACTACAATAATTTCTGAGAATACTCTACATTACTTAACAGAATAGTAAATGATGTCCATAACAGTGACCCTGAGTCACCAAGAAAGCATTAGAGGTGCTCAATACGTCTCGTCAAAAACAGCACAATATGCAATGTGTAGCCAAAGGCAGCCAAAGGATCGTGAGAGTTTTCATCATTTCACAGTTTAAAGTCCTTCACTACATTTACAGATGTCAGGCATGTGGAACACTCCGCTTTCTAATGACGGTGTTCTATTTGCATAAAGTACGGCTAACAGGAAAAACAAGAAAGAAAAGAAAAATATATATATATATAATGATGATGTTCTAGTATTAACTACTATACCCAAGTACTCTCCTTATCTTAATCAGTATCAGATTGATTTACACTTCCAGAGCCCCTTGTAGAACCATCACATAGATAAAATGGAATTTTTTAAAGTTTTCAAGCGTATTTTGAAACCAGGATTTCTTGTGCTATTATTATCAAACATCTTCCACAGAAAAAGCCCATCCTACCCACAGAGACACAAGGCCAGGACTTATTAGTGGGTTCATTGCCACCTACCAAAATCCTGTATTCTTTTCCAGATTTTAATTTCCACATTTTAATTAACTAGTGACTAATAATTCTCAGTTTCTCACTACCTTTCCATACCCCAAATAAAATAATACCCTATATTTCCACCACCAAACATCCTTCCCTCTTGTTAATTCTCCACAGCAGCATCGACTGGTTGCCACTCACTGTCCAACACAAACACCAGTGGATTGTGAAGTGTGGGAATCTGCAGCTCTTGGAGCTGCATTGTAACTAGAAAATATACAAGTCCTCCTCTTGCTGTCTACTTTAACCAAGAAGAAACATGTTGCCATGCTGGGGCAGCTTAGGGATTAGACACTTATCAGTCTTTCTGAGGTCAGCTGGTAATCTTCTTTCTGTCTGCTTCTGTGTGCCAGACCCTGGGCTTAAGTGCTTTACCCACACTATCTGTTTAATCCTTACAACTGTCCTATGAGATAGGTCCTATTTGACCCCACTTTGTAGATAGGCAGGCTGTGGCTAAAAGGTCAAGCAACTTAACCAAGGTCACACTATTCCTATGTGGGGGAAAAGGATTGGAACCCACTTACGACTTCGAAGTCCACACTCTTCACTATACACCAACTGCTTCAGCTGTCATTAACTTTAGTTACATTTATACATCATTGAGAGTGTACACTGAATGCCTCAAATTCACTTTACTATGCTTTATTTCATTCACTATGAAGTATGTATCTTATCTTCATATGAAATTGTTATTAATGTGTTAATTTTTTAAAAGCTAGAGGATAAACGAAGGCAAAGAATACAGGTTTGGGCAGCCTTTATAATTTGCTGTTTGAAATAACTTTAATACTTAAGTATGTAAGAATGTTACCTGGGGTTACTGTTAGCTGAAAACAATGAAGCTTGTTTGGATCAGGAAAATGCACTTTACATGTACCTGCAAAAGAAACAACACATCAGGAAGGCCTGGCAGTGAGCAACAGTCCATATGATGAGGTTAACTTTTGAACACATGTAAAGTTAGCGGTGCTAGAGGGATTTGTATGGTTTATGGAAAGCTGGTAGATCTCCCTCCCTATTTGTCTAATAATAACTGTGCCAATAAAATCGCAAACCAGTGGTTTTTGTCATGTGTTTTTCTCCTTAGTCTTTTACTAGTTAATCCCAAATAGAGATGTTTTCCTTCAACCTTTAAGTGGTCACTAAACCATTTATTTCAAAAGAATTATGCTACTGTACTTTGACAAGAAGAAACCATATCTCAGGGAGATTAATATATGCAGGCAAAGGCTAACTAAACACAAAAAAACCAGGAAGGAGCCCAGGTCAACTCTGTTCCCCTGGCACCACAGACATTCAGTCACCATGGTAAATGGAAGTTCTTTATAAAGAAGGGTGCTGGTTGGGCGTGGTGGCTTATGCCTGTAATCCCAGCTACTTGGGAGGCTGAGGCAGGGGAACCACTTGAATGGGGGAGACGGAGGTTGCAGTGAGCAGAGATTGCGCCATTGCACTCCAGCTTGGGCAACGAGAGTGAAACCCCGTCTCAAAAAAAAAAAAAAAAAAAAAGAAGAGTGTGCCCAGGACTTAGCTCCCACCAGCCAGAGTTTACCATGATATTTTGTCTTTTTAAAAAATACCTTTACTACCTAAGTGGTAAAGCATCTTGCTTTGTTGGTAAAACAATGCTCTACTGACCCAGATGGCAATGTTCTGTGCCCACTGGTCCAAGTCACAAGAGGCCTAAATCAGGACAAAATGTTCCCCTGGGAGAGGGGCTACTGGCTGCTGGTGCAGGCCAGGGAAGTTGACTGCACCCCACCTGTCTCGTTCAAACAAATGGCACATGGCTAATTACCCATGGAAAAAACACCCAAGGAATCTGGAAGGAATATATATAGAAATTTTCTACATCTATAAAATCAGAAAATACTACGCTAAACTTTTTTTTAGACAGGGTCTCACTCTGTTGCCTGGGCTGGAGGACAGTGGCATGATTCCAGCTCACCGCAACCTTTGCCTCCAAGGCTCAGGTGATCCTCCCACCTCAGCCTCCTGAGTAGCAGGGACTACAGGTGCACACCACCACACCTGGCTAATTTTTGTATCTTTTGTAGAGACAGGTTTTCGCCATGTTACCCAGGCTAGTCTCGAACTCCCTTGCTCAAGTGATCCACTCACCTTGGCCTCTGAAAGTGCTAGGATTACAGGTGTGGGCTACCACACCAGGCCTATGCTAAACTTCTCAGTTCACCACTGGTGGTGAACTAAACATGGAAAAACCAGGAAACAACCCAGGTCAAATTTCTACTCCGTTCTCCTAGCACCATAGACATTCAGAGTCACCACGGCAAATGGAAGTTAGAAAGAGTGTTGGCCAGGCGTGGTGGCTCACACCTGTAATCCCAGAACTTTGGGAGGCCAAGGTGGGCAGTTCATGAGGTCAGTAGTTCGAGACCAGCCTGGCCAACAAGGCGAAACCCCGTCTCACCTAAAAATACAAAAATTAGCCGGGCAAGGTAGTGGGTGCCTGCAGTCCCAGCTACTTGGGAGGCTGAGGCAGGAGAATTGCCTGAACCTGGGAGGCGGAGGTTGCCATGAGCTGAGATCATGCCACTGCACTCCAGCCTGGGCAACAAAGCAAGACTCCATCTTAAAAAAAAAAAAAAAAAAAAAGGGGGGCTGCCCAGGAGTTAGCTCCCACCCAGCGTTTATTAAAGTTTTTTTAGAAGACTTTTTAAAAGTTTTTTTAAAGTTATCTTACAAGTTCCACCAAACGTATTTGCTTAGTTTGACAATGATAAAAATTTTTATCGAAAACAGGACAACTCAAATTTCTATCAGAGGTGACCTTAGAGACGATCTAGTCCAACGTCCTCAACTAGGAGACATAAGTAGAAGGTCCAGAGAGGTTTGGTGACTAGCCCAAGATCATACAGGTTATCAACAGAAGCAAGGTTAATTCCTACATTAATAACTAGTTCATGACTCCTTCTCCTACTGCATGCCTCATTTCCTTTCAGTACGTAAAGAACATGTTAAGACATGGGACACCTGTACATACAAACAACAAATAACACAGGACTGTTAGTGGGGTTTCCTTTCCAGAGTGAAACTGCTTAGAAAAGCAAGAAGCAGGCCGGGCGCGGTGGCTCATGCCTGTAATCCCAGCACTTTGGGAGGTCGATGCAGGTGGATCACAAGGTCAGGAGATCGAGATCATCCTGGTTAACTAACACGGTGAAACCCCATCTCTACTAAAAATATAAAAAATTAGCCGGGCGTAGTGGCGGGCACCTGTAGTCCCAGCTGCTTGGGAGGCTGAGGCAGGAGAATGGCGTGAACCCGGCAGCAGAGCTTGCAATGAGCTGAGATCGCGCCACCGCACTCTAGCCTGGGCAACGAGCGAGATTCCGTCTCCAAAAAAAAAAAGCAAAGCAAAGCAAAAAGCAGTCTTAGAGATGACAATGTCACAGTTCTTACTTTAGAAATAAAGAAACTGGAGCCAAAGAGTTCAAGACTTTCCCCAAAATTACACAGTGAGAACTAGTGTGAAATACTTAAAATGGGCTTTATTCTTCCTAATCTTAACTTGCAAAGATAAATGCCATCCCTCTAGTGAGTTCTAAGTAACAAAAACATATGATTATGACTTGGGATGTTAATCATGTTAGTCATGTTTCGATGATTAACAGAAGTTGGCATCATGTATTTGTTTTTAATATCTAGCATTCTCCTTTGTTTTAATAGACAGATGAAGAAATCAATAGCTCCAAAAAAGCTGGCCCACCAAGAATAAAGAAATTATCGGCCGGACGCGATGGCTCATGCCTGTAATCCTAGCACTTTGGGAGGCCAAGGCAGTTGGATCACCTGAGGTTAGGAGTTCAAGCCCAGCCTGGCCAACACGGTAAAAACCCCCTCTCTACTAAAAATACAAAAAATTAGCCAGGTGTGATGGCGCATGCCTGTAATCCCAGTTACTCAGGAGGCTGAGGTGGGAGAATTGCTTGAACCTGGGGGACAGAGGTTGCAGTGAGCCGAGACTGCGCCACTTCACTCCAGCCCAGGTGAAAGAGCGTGACTCTGTCTCAAAAAAAAAAAAGAAAGAAATTATCAAAGTGGATTAAAAAGCAATAAAACTATGCCAGGTGCAGTGGCTCATGCCTGTAATTCTGGCAAAACCCCGTCTCCACTAAAAATACAAAAATTGGCTAGGTGTGGTAGCAGGCATCTCTAATCCCAGCTACTCAGGAGGCTGAGGCAGGAGAGTCACTTGAATCCAGGAAGTGGAGGTCGCAGTGAGTCGAGATCGCACCACTGCATTCCAGCCTGGGTGACAGAGCAAGACTCCATCTCAAAAAAAAAAAAAAGAGAGAAAAGAAAGGTTAAGTTTAAAAAAAAAATGTTAACAGTCAGGTTTTTGTTCTAGTTCAATTCACTAGAATTAAGCTTTTTATCTACATGTAGGCATGCACTATCTAAGCCTCTAATAATATTTCAGTCTATCTGGAAGAAACATTTTAAATCTTTTTGCAGAGAAACCTCTACAAACTTGCATGTACAGAGCTCTAAACTAGTTATGAATAGTTACTAAGTGGTACTGATACAAGGCAAGTTATTTTGTTAGCCTTTGTAAATATGTTAGAAAGATAATTAAACAGATAGTTGAAAGGCTATGCATTGGTGGCTTCTTGTTTTCTCTTTAGAATAATGAGACATACTTTTGGAAAGCATGGCTTTTAAAATGATATAATTTCCCCCCTCTTTGATTAGAAGAGAAGGTAGGGAGAAAGAACGAAAGAAGAGGCAGAGAACATGCTGTCTTTTTATCTGACACCATAGCCATAGGGCTAGGAAGATGTGCCATGGTTCTTTCAAACCTAAGGTATGCAGTTACAATCCTGATTTGAAAGCCAGTCATAAAATTTTCTTTTTTTTAAAGTACACTCTATGGGTTAAAAATCAATAATCTCTGTAAGATACATATCAAGGATGAATGAACCATTTATAAGTGAGACCTTTTCTGTGATTTTGATTAAATGTCTGTATGTGTTGGCCATGCACAGTGGCTCGTGCCTGTAATCTCAGCACTTTGGGAGGCCGAGGTGGGAGGATCACTTGAGCCCAGGAGTTTGAGATCAGCCTGGGCAACACAGGAGACTCCATCTCTACAAAAAAAAAAAATAATAATTTTAAAAAATTAGCTAGGTGTAGTAGCATGCACTTGAGGTCTGAGGTCTCAGCTGCTCAGGAGGCTGAGGTGGGACGATCACTTGAGCCCAGGAGGTTGGGGCTGCAGTGAGCCACACTCATGCCATTGTACTCCAACTTGGGCAACAAAGAGAGATCCTGTCTATAAAAAAACAAAAAAAAAAGTTTACATATACATACAGGCTCAAGCTGGGGGTCTGTGGGAACATAAGATGGGAGTGGAAAGCAGAGGAGTTATTTTATTTTTATGAGGCAAATGTCCTAATAAAAGAGAAGAGTATAATGAACCCATCCCCCAGCTTCAACATTTTGCCAATCTTGCTTGTCTATCCTGCCCCCCCACAGTTACTTGTTTGTCTTCCTGTAGCATTTTAAAGCAAACCACTTCATCTGTAAATATTTCAGTGGGTAGAAAGATAACCTTTTTGTGTTTTGTGGTTTTATTTTTTTTTTTTTGAGACAGTCTCACTCCGTTGCCCAGGCTGGAGTGCAGTGGCGTAATCTCAGCTCACTGCAACCTCCACCTCCTGGGTTCAAGCAATTCTCTTGCCTCAGCCTCCCAAGCAGCTGGGATTACAGGTGCACACCATCACAACCAGCTAAATTTGTACTTTTAGTAGAGACAGGGTTTCATCATGTTGGCCAACCTGGTCTCAAACTCCTGACCTCAAATGATCCACTCATTTCAGCCTCTCAAAGTGCTAGGAATACAGGCGTGAGCCATCGCACCCAGCCAAAAAGATAACCTTTTAACAGAATCTCAAGATATTGCCTCATTTCTGAGTTGAAGAAAACTTTGAGGTCAAGCAATCCAATGTCTTTCAAAACACCTTCAACCGAGATCCATAGTAAGAAACATATTTTATACCACAACTCACTATACCTACCCATAAGTTTCATGTTGAAAATAATCTTTTGGCTGGGCGCGGTGGCTCACGCCTATAATCCCAGCACTTTGGGAGGCCGAGGCAGGCAGATCACTTGAGCCCAGGAGTTTGAGACCAGCCTGCCCAATATGGCAAAAACCCATCTGTGCTAAAAATACAAAAATTAGCCTGGCATGGTGGTGCGTGCCTGTGGTCCCAGCTACTCGGGAGGCTGAGACACAAGAATTGCTTGAACCTAGGAAGCAGACTCCAGCCTGGGTGACCGAGTAAGACTCTGTTTTGAAAATAATAATAATTTTTTAAGAAACATTACATACTTACCCTCTCAAACTGATTTCACAACCATGTAGAGGTTGCAACCCACCATTATCTTTCCAACTTCAGATGGAGACTGGAATGGGCTCTGCCCTGCCCCATGTCAGAGATACCTCCACATTCAACCCTAAGTTCTCTCTAGCACTCACCCAAACCAGCAGACCCACTTATAAAATGCTTCACCATCATCCACAGACATCCTCAGCCTCAGAATTTTAAAGGAAGTATGATGACAAAAAGTTGTAATTAAAAAAATACTAAAGTGATCAAATCTTTCAGGCTTTAATGATCTTTTGAAATAATCAAGGGTTTGGAAGAAGATTAACGATAGGGAAAAAAAAATATGACATATATTACAAAAGTGAACTGCCTGATAAATGGGCTTTCCAAACGTACCATGCTCATGAGTGAAGACTGCATGCTGACCTTGTGTGTCTGGGGCAGAAACAATCAAGCAAGATGGACATCCACTGACAGCAAGGCAGTGCAGCCACCCCTCAAACATGCAGACGAGTTACAAATAAGCACTTTGACAAAAAACTGGTATCATCCCTAACAAAAATGGAACTGTTATTGATTTATATACTTTTTCACTCAAAGTGGATGTGGGACAGAATGCATGTGTAAGAGACAAAAACCTAACCAAATGCACCTCTGCTATGCTAAGGAGAGATAGAAAGCACTCAAAAAGATGGCAGAACCTTGCTCTTTTTTTTTTTTTTTTTTAAGACAGAGTCTCGTTCTGTCACCCAGGCTGGAGTGCAACAGCGCAATCTTGGCTCACTGCAACCTCCGCCTCTTGAGTTCAAGCGACTCTAGTGCCTCAGCCTCCCAAGTAGCTGGGACTACAGGCATGCACCACCATGCTCAGCTAATTTTTGTATTTTTAGTAGAGACAGGGTTGCACCATGTTGGCCAGGCTGTTCTCGAACTCCTGACCTCAAGTGATCCAGCTGCCTCCACCTCCCAAAGTGCTGAGATTAGCGGCATGAGCCACCATGCCTGGCCTACCTTGTTCTTATTAGATATTTGAAAAAATCCTACCTTTTCACAGAAAATTAAAATTCATTCCTAACGTACATGAAAAATAGGCTTTTTACTGTACAAGGTTATTAAGACATAAAAAGTTTTCTTCATGCAATTATTTCACAGTACTTAGCGTTTGGGGATGCTATACTTACAAGGTAAATTAGCTTCAAGTTCTGCAACCTCTGTAGAAACAAAGAAATTATTATTATTAATATTAGTCGATTACTCCACATAAAATTACCAGTTCTAAATTGGCAATTTCCTCTAGAACACTGAAGAAAAAAAAAATAAACTGAATGAACTGAATAAAACCTAGTCTAAAGTTTAGACTTTAAGCCATTTAGCTGCTTTCGATATACAAAGTGACCTGCAGAAGGCCAACAAATTCAGTCAAAAGTCCTTGAATATTCACTTTAATGTAAAAGAAAAACATTTTAAATTAACACAGAAATGACCTACAGGTAGCCAGTTACTACAGTGTTTTAAAAAGTGGTTCCAAGTACTGGAACGAGTCCTCTCAAAATCTGATCTATATGCACCTTGTGTCTATGTCTGTTCCCAATGCTATCTTCTAGTTATCCCCTCATAGCTGCATTTCTTGGCCCCAGTCCTCTGCCAAAGGGCCTCAGACGTCCCAGTCCCTCTTCTACCAGCCACTCATTTGGTGTTTAAGCCCAGCACCCCTCTGCAGGACAAAACTGCAAAGCCTCACCACAATCCTGCTCACCACTTCTAGTCAACACAGTACTAGAAGTCTAAACCAGAGCAATCAGACAAGAAAAAGAAATAAAAGGCATTCAAACTAGAAAGAAAGAAAATTATCCCAATTTCAGGTGACATGATCCTATATGCAGAAAGCCCTAAAGAATCCCCCCACCCCACACACACACACACAGACACACACACACTTTAGAATAAAACGCTTGGGAATAAATTTAAGGCGATAAAAGATCTGTATACTGAAAACTGTAAAACATTAATGAAAGACATTAAAGAAGACACGAATAAATATACGGAAAGATATACCATGTTCATATATTAAAAGAATTAATATTGTTGAAATGTCCATACTACCTAAAGCAATCTACAGATTCAATGCAATCCCTATCAAAATTCCAATGACATTTTTCACAGAAATTTTTAAAAAAATTCTAAAATTTGTCTGGAATCACAAAACACCCTGAAAAACCAAAGCAACTTGAGAAAGAACAAAGTTGTAAGCATCATACCTTCTGATTTCAAGCTACAGAAATCAAAACAGCAGAGCACTGGCATAAAAATAGACACACAGAACAGAAAAGAGAGTCCGGAAGTAAACCTAAGCCTACACAGTCAACTAATTTATGACACAGGTGCCAAGAAAACACGATGGGGAAAGGATAGCTCCTTGAATAAATAGTGTTGGGGAAAGTGGATATTCACATGCAAGGGAATAAAGCTGGCTCCTTATCTTATACCGTACACAAAAAATCAACTCAAAATGAATTAAAGACTTAAATGTAAGACCTGACAGTATATAACTCCTAGAAGAAAAGATAGGGAATAAGTTCCTTGACATGGGCCTTGGCAATGATTTTTTTTGATATCACACCAAAAGCTCAGGAACAAAAGCAAAAATAAGCAAGTGGGATTACATCAAACTAAAAAGCTTCTGTACAGTAAAGGAAACACTCAGCAAAATAAAAAGGTAGCCTATGTGCCAGGCACGGTGGCTCACGCCTGTATTCCCAATACTTTGCGAGGTCAGGTGAGTAGACAGCTTAAGCCCAGGAGTTTAAGACCCACCTGGGCAACACGGCAAAATCTTTTTTTTTTTTTTTAACAAAATATACAAAAATTAATGGGGCACGGTGGCACACACCTATAGTCCCAACTGCTCAAGATATGAAGTGGGAGGATCATCTGAGCCTGGGAGGTCGAGGCTGCAGTGAGCTGGGACCACACCACAGCACTCTACACCACTCACTCTGGGTGACAAAGTGAGACCCTCTCTCAAAAAAAAAAAAAGAAAAAGAAAAAGAAAAAGAAAAGAAGAGGTAGTCTATGAATTGGGAGAAAATATTTACAAATCATATATTCAATGAGATTAATATCTAAAATACATAAGGAAATCACACAACTCAATAGCAAAAAAAAAAAAAATTTTTTTTTTAAACGGGCAAAAAGCATGAATAGACACATCTCCAAAGAAGAAATAAAAATGGCCAACAGATATATGCAAAGGTGCTCAACATCACTGAACATCAGGGAAATACAAATCAAAATCATGAGAAATCACCTCACACCTGTTAGAATGGCTACTATCAAAAACAGCGATAAATGTTGGCAAGAAGGTGGAAAAAAGGGAACCCTTGTATACTGATAGCAAGACTGTACACTTGGTATAGCCATTATGGAAAACAGTATGGAAGTTCCTCAAAAAATTAAAAATAGAACTACCATATCACCCAGCAATCCCACTCTGGTTATCTACCCAAAGAAAACAAAATCAGTGTGTCGAACAGATATCTGCGCTTCCATGTTCATTGGAGCATTATTCACAATAGGCAAAATATTGAAATAACCTAAGTGTCACTGACAACTGGATAAAGAAATTGTGGTATACACTGTATATATGTTGGAACACTGTTCAGCCTTTAAAAAGGGATCCTGCCATTTGCAACAACATGGGTAAATCTAGACATTATGATACATAAAATAAGCCAGACATACAAAGACAAATACTACATGATCTTACGTATATGTAGACTCTAAAGTCAAAATGAAGAAACAGAAAACGGTGTTGACTAGGGCATGGGAGCAGGGAAGGGGGCAGAATGGGGGGATACAAAGTTATAGTTATGTAGGATGAATAAGTCTAGAGACCTGAAGTACAGCATGATGACTATAGTTCATAATATTGTTTTATATGCAGGAAATTTGTCAACGGAGTAGATTCAGGTGTTATCATTTTTAAAAAGGTAAACTATATGAGAAGATGAATATATTAATTCACTTGACTGTAGTAAACAACCTACTATGTTTATCAAAGCAGCATACTGGACCAGGCACTGTGGCTAATGCCTGTAATCCCAGTGATTTGGGAGGCCGAGGCAGGAGGATTGCTTCAGGCCAGGAGTTTGAGACCAGCCTAAGCAACACAGTGAGACCACGATCTCTGTCTCTCTTTTTTTTTTTTTTTTTTTTTTTTAGCCTTTTTCCACAACCTCCTAACCTCTTAAAACAAAAAAACAAACAAAGAGTGAGGCATGGTGGCGCATGCCTGTAGTCCCAACGACTCAGGAGTTTGAGGTGGGAAGATCACTTGAATCCACGAGTTTGACGTTATAATGAGCAATCATCGCCCCACTGTGCTCCAGCCTGGGTAACAAAGTGAGATCACCTCAAAAAAAAAAAAAAAAAAAAAAAAAAGTCTTCTTGTATACCTTAAATATTTATAATAAACAACTAATTAATTAAAAATAAAAACCTGCAGTTTAGCAGGGCATGGGGAAGGGTACACTCTGAAATAACTGACCTGGCAAAGTCCTCTGTGCCTCAGACAGAAAGAAAGTAGTGTGCTCTGGGGTCTTTGGGCTAGGGAGATTCTCTCCAGCTGTGGGAACTAAGGAAGGAGGAGGTTTCTGGGTTGGGCTTTGGCAAGTAAATAAAATTTAGTCCTGCAGAGTTAGGGGAAGAGAGGAGTATTCCAAGCCGACAAATTAGCAATGTGCGAAAGCACAGCGCATGGAAAAGCACAGAAACCAGACAGCATCCAGTGTGGCCAGAAGAAAGGTCCCAAAATAACAGGAGAGCACTGGGAAACAAAGTAGAAAGATAGAAACAGGAGCGTGGAGAGAGCTATTGGAGATTTCTGAACAGAAGTTTCTAACCTTGCCTAAAGAGGACAACCTTAGAAAGGGCAAAGTGCAGGCCAGGTGACCTAAGAGATGGGCAGCAAGCACCTGGCAAAGGCAGAAAAGCTTGGGGGAATTCAGAGCAAACAGAATGGAGAGGTTCTGGCAACTGTAAGCGGGTGGAGGGTGTCAAAGATGGCACCCAGGGGTGATGAGCTGGGATGTGGGAGTGCCAGAAAGCCACTAGAGACAAAGAGAAGGAGTAGGGGAGGGGGAGGAAGAAGAGTAGCATGGGAGGGGGAGGAAGAGGAGGAGAACAAGGCTGGGGGCACAAAAAGGGCAAAGGTGAGGGGTACCTGCAAAGTGATGCCACCTGTCATCATGAGACTGGGTAAGGTCAACAAAAGGGAGAAAAAAGAACCTTGGAGAAAGCAATGGCCAAGGAACGGTGGAAGTGACAGATGAGAAACATGCCGAAAAGCAGAAGAGCCATCAGGAACGTGGTGATTCAGTGAAAGCACAGGGCGTCCAAGGGAAAAGGCCGTCGGAAGTGCATCAGACCTTGCTGACTGGCATTCAAAATAGCAGGAAAGCAGGAAGAGAGATGGAACCCAGAGTATGAAGTGAAGAACCAAATCTGTGGTCAACATAGCTGCAGCACAACAATTCCTTCAAGAAGTGAAGTGGGGAAAGGCAGCAAGGGGAAGGGGTAACGGAGGCCAGAATGCTTGCAAAGCTGACCACTGAGTGGAGGAGTGAGAAGGCTGGCTGAGGGCTCTACTCCAAGGCTGGGGGTTCAGGAGACCTGCAGGCCTCTGATCTCAGCTATTTATATGCAACAACTAAGCACCTGTATAGAGGCAAGTGGCCCATTAAATGCACTCGTTCTAGGGCCCAGGTATGTGGAAGGGGCACCAAAGGTGAAGACAATGGAGGAGCTAGAGAAAGGGAGAGGCCCACCCACAGTAGCTCCCTCTCAGGGCCAGGCCATGTTCTGGCCAGGGCAAGCCTTCTCACACTGAGAAAAAGGGCAGATCTCTTCGGCGAAGCTGAGTATGGGGAGAAGAGGAGAAAGAGTTCATCACCCACTGGCCATGATTAGAAATAGAGCAAGTTCTGGCAGGGCGCGGTGGCTCACGCCTGTAATCCCAGCACTTTAGGCGGCCGAGGTGAGCAGACCATGAAGTCAGGAGATAGAGACCATCCTGGCTAACACGGTGAAACCCTGTCTCTACTAAAAATACAAAAAATTAGCCAGGCGTGGTGGTGGGCACCTGTAGTCCCAGTTACTTGGGAGGCTGAGGCAGGAGAATGGTGTGAACCCGGAAGGCAGAGCTTGCAGTGAG